GGCCAGCTCTGTCCTGAGGTGGGTGGAAAGATGGATATGGAGGCTGGTGCAGGAGCAGGAGCCAGGACAGTCACCCTGGTGAGCAGTAAGAGCTACAGCTACCCTTCATTTATGCCACAGAGGAGCCCTGGCGCAGCCCGGCCTCAGCAGGACCAGCATGAGCAACTGCTGTGCCCACATGCACAGCCAGGACCAGAAAACTTTGTGGGGGAATTTTGCAATACGCATATTTGGCAGCAAACCAAAGGCTCCAGAAATCCCATTTCCACCCACTCCTTAAACACTTGAAACTGGATTTTCAGAAATCACTCCTCAGCCTACAATTCTTTTGTACCATCCTGCTTAGTGACATAGGGGCACAACCACATGAATTTTACAGCTGTAGGACATCATTGTTAACAAGTCAAAAAAACCTTCAAACCTTCTGCTTCAAAGCCACAAACCCTTGGTCCTCATCTTTTAAACAGAGCTTGTAAGTAACTTAGCACTGCAATGGCTCACATGTTCTCTGCAGCCATTTATGACACTACCACCAAACTTAATAACAGAGAACTGATGGACTACATGACATTGCAATTTATGCTCTAACTCTAAGCAGTAATATTTTCTCTAGTTAAGTGAACATTTTTAGAAAAACTGCAAGACTGCAGCAGTCAACTGCATAAAGTTAATTGGTTAACTGAAATAGAAACCCATTAACTGATTAACCAAAAGCTATAGATGGAGTAGTGTCATAACATCACAATGAACATTTAAGACAAGAATTGCAATAAAGTAGATTTGTAATTCTTGAATGCATGTGATTAACAGATTCAAACAAATGATGCTACTATTATGTCAATTATTCCTTGCCATAAAATATTGAATATGATTAAATTCAAGTGTTTGAGAGAAAAACATATCTCTTAGGACAATTACACCAGAGAAAAAGAGTAAATAATTATTTGGTATGCTATCGTGTGTTAAAAACAAAATAATAATAATAATAATAATAATAATAATAGGAGGAGGAAACAATAACAAAAATATATTAAGAATAGGAAGACTAATAACAGTAAAAAGACTTGTATTAAGAGGGCACAGATTTTCCAAGCTGACATAGAGAAATCTACTGCATGGCAAAAGCAAGACATTGAATTTTTTTCCAAAGTTATGGCAGTAGTGAGAGTCTCGAACAACATCTAACTAGTCATTTATGAACTCAGCTGCTGTGTAGGTGTATTAGAGATGGCTGATATACTGATATACTGATATCATGTTGATGTCATGTTCCAAATCTGTTGATGTCACTGTTTAAAAAGAGGACAGGTGTGTTCCAGAAATATATGTCTTTCTCTATGGTGTTTCCTGCAGCTCAACTTATCCCTGTATCAAGCAGCGCTGATACGCCTTTCTCATTGCAGTTCCCACACCCTGTTAGGGGTTGTCTACTCCTGTGCCTTCAAGGAGGCTCCTGAGAGATGCTGGTCATGGCCAAGCAAAGCTGACATGGGGGCACACTGGGGATCTGTGTGCCATGGCCATATTCCTCCCTAGCCTCAGTAGGGCTGTAGTCACCTCAAGGCCACTGCTCCAGGACAGCTCAAAGATGATATGTAACGAGATCAGCCACGGGGAAGGGCTTTGGGAGGACAGAAAGTCCTCTTCTCCATCCTCAGGTCCCCTAAGCTCCCCAAATCCTCATCCAAGACCTTAAGTAGTACTATAATATTTCCTGATAATGTGATAGACCTTTTTCTGCTAACAGCAGCATGAGATTTTGAGCTGGGTTTGCTGATTTTTGCGCTGCTTATACCCTAGGGCAGCTTCAGGAGTTTGAGAGCAAGCTTTATTGCATACATGGTTTAATTACCTTGTCTAGAAACTTGCTACTGAGTAAGCGTGGTAACACTTTTTTTTCCCCAGAGAACCAATCTAGGATGCTTAGCATATTGAAATATCAAAATAGACAAGTGGCAATGGTGATGACTCTAACTGTTAATCTCTTTTTCGCACAGGTTTTACCAAAATCTCCTAGGAATTCAAAATCATTTCCCTGCTTAATGAACTTGCCTCCAAACAAAACATTCAACCCAAAGGCATATTTTAAGAGTATTACTCATGAGTACTACTAGCAATGCATTAAAGACAAAAAGAATACCAACCCAAAACTAAACAAAGGAAACCACAATTAAAAACACATAAAATGTGTCTAGTTACAAAACAAAGAATTAGAAGAGTGGTATAAAATTAGATACTAAACATTTTAGTTTGTAGTCAGTACTATTTCAAAATCCTTTCTTGTAGACTTATATTGTGCTTTCTTCTACCATGCACTTTGCAGGGAAACACAAACTACCAAAGTCACAACATCAAAAAAAAAAGGGGTTGAGGGCAACCTGCATAGCCTAAGGTGTCACAGATCTCTCAAGGTTAAGCTCAGGAGTTAACATGCAGCTAGGCCTCTACTCTTAAAAACATGAAGTATATCCTTTTCACCTACCAATCATGACAATCTTGCTGTATGATTTTTGGATGGCTAACAAAAGGAGAAACTACAGCTGTAAAAAGAATGAGACTTAAAACGAATTTGAGACATCTTCACAGAAATCTCCTCAGTAACACAATGTCAAACAAATGTTTGCAATCCGTTGTTCGCTGCCTTTTTTGGTATTTGGAGAAAACACACCCTAATTCGTAATGCTTTTGCTGAGTTTATTACTATTTCTGAGAATTTTTATTAACAGCAGGTCACTACCCGAGCAGCCTAATGAAAATGGAGCAATGTGGATAGTATGGGCTAGAATGACCAAGAAAGGTTAACTTTTGAGAATGCAGTATTTAAAATGGAAAAATTCCATAATATATAATGTTGGAGGGTAAAAACTGAGAAGCTATTCAATTCAATGAGGAGATGAATAGAAAGTGAAAGAATCTGACCCTACCACTGACTCCTTACTTTTCCTACTACTAGGAGCTTGTTCAGAGTTAGAAAAGCAGAATTTGAAAGCTTTCAATTAAACCTAATCTGAAATTAGAGTATATTGACTAAATATGCTTTGCCAAAAATTCTTGGTAAAAAGCTGTGTTAATTAAAATTTCTTTTAATGGTAATTTAAATTTTCTGCACAAGTATATCACCAGCAATGGTGATGTATTCTTTGAAAAAGAAGAGAAAAATAAAGTAAATCTCTGAAATACTCATATTTATACTTGCACACACACAAGTATTTATATCTGCAAAGATTTATGTTAGAAAGGTTCCCCGAACTTTCTTGAACACATGTCCCATAATCATTACCTCCTTGCAGGAACTTCCTAGTATGAAAAATGGTCACAGTCATTGACTGAATTGCTTGCTACAACTTTATCAGTTTCCAAGAAGAAACAGCATTCTACTAAATACCATTATTTAACTATTAATTTTAGTTTGTCTTTTATTCCGGTGTTGGGAGCTTCACATTCTAACAGCTAGCCATATCTAAATGGATGCAAATGAACAGCTTCTTCTGACAGATTATGATGGTCATTTCAACATAAAGTTTCCTTAGGGAAAAATATACTTTTCTACAAAAGGACATAGTTGAATTAAATACTTGCTTGATTTCATTGTGTTTCCAGGACAAACATTAGACATAATTTTAAAGGAACAGAAAAGCTCTACAATAATTCCTGTGTGCAAGCACGTAGAGGTTTGGGGTTTTTTTCTGGATGCTGTAGCCAAAATATAAATCATTTTCTGCTGTGGTGTCAGGAAGTGTATTGCACTAAATTAATCATGAGCTACTCTTAAAAGGGGACAAAAATCCACTGCAAAATTAAACAAATCTCTCTGTGCCTGTTTTCCATTTGCATTGTCATCACTTACCTTTAGAGGACGATGGAAGTGAGATGAGAATGTTGCTGAAATTCATTCAACAGACCCTGTGTGTGTGTTAGCAGCTCTAGTGCTCTCTGTTGTGCCTCCAGCCATTGGAAAAGATAAAGGATTATAACCCGCATACAATATAATCTTTACTCTTTGCCAGGCTCCTAACACAGGGATACACTATAGAAAAATAAATCCAGAGGCACACAGACTACAAGCCAAGCTGTGTGTCTTCTAGTATTTCTCAGTCCCAGACATATTCTGTTAGAGTAGATAAAAGACTTTCTGTCTCATTATAAAAGGAAAGGCAATTCATAAGGGAAATCAAGTCATTTTAGAAAGCTTTTACTAATAAGTCCAATAGTTCAGCAGATGTGCCCAAGTGGGGAAAGCTGGGAGCACAGAGATCAGGCAGCTCCATCCACCATAATAAAACAGTGACTCAGCTTGCTCTTGTTTTTTATGTCAGGCAATCAAAAGAAAAGCCAATTTACTGAGTGAGGGGTAAATAAACTCATGACAATTAAAGAACAGAAATTATGCCTCTGTGGTTTAGATTGGAAGCATTGTAAAGATAAAAAATCTTAAATAATGCATTCAGACAAGGCTTCTAGATCGTTATATGTCTTTCTTTGCTCCCAGGGCAGGATAGGCAAGTGCAGAAGATTTTGTTAACTCTCTCCTTTCAAACTCTTAACACACAAACTACATGAATCCAAGAGGCACTAGTCATTTAATATCCCTGCTATAATAAAGTAATTTTCAAAATGCTTCTGGGAAGACACAATTCTCTGGACCACAAGCAATAGCAATTAAAGTCATCCTCAACTTTATAACTGACTTTGAAACCAGAGAGAGTTTACAAAAATGTTTTGAAGTCTCTTCCCCCTCTTTCCTCAGTCTCCAAAAGTATTTTTTCTCTAGGTGTTCACAAGCCTTCCTTTCTCACTGAACTCAGGTCAATAAGTTCAGGACTATCTTCTGATTCCTGACTCAGAAAACCTCCCCATAATGTAACTCTAAGCCTGTATATAAATTCCTTGCAAAAGCAGCTCAACACATGTGCTCAAATTCTACTGATATTGGGCCAACTCTGTGTTTTTTCTCCTTGCACGGTAACTTACTATCTCCCTTCACAGCAAGCCACACTTACCGGTAAAATGTGGTATAATCCACTGTTGAATGACAGCTCTGAAACTCCCACGCTTTGAGTTTCTGGCATTCCCGGTGAGCTCGGAGTTTCACCCTGACTGTCCCATGACAGAGCTCAGGTACAGGTTTTCTCTGTGGGCGACTGCAGAATTCATTGGACTCCACACGCCAGGATTCGGCAAAGTCATCCACATCAAACTTAAAATTCCCATCCCCCCCAATCAGGTCGTCTCGTTTGTGCCCATTGTAATTGCCACACAGACCACAGAGTTTGCCTTTCAGATGCGGTGCAGCCATGACTTCCACAAAACTGTCTCCATCCCATGAGATTTCCAAGCCTAATAAAAAGATGAGACAAAAACACACACACACACAAAGAGAAGAAGAAGAAGAAATTGAGGATAACACACTGCACCTTATATTTGTGAAACAGTGTTCATGGGAAACTGAACAAAGCTATTGGCTTCATTCTAATAACGCTGTTAGATTTCTATATATCTCACAGTAAGTGCCACTGGCAAGTGTAGTGTTTCTTAAATCACAGTTAACTACAATGTCTCATGCCTGTCTCTGTTTATTTTTATTCCTCTTTGGTAATGAACGAGGTTATCCTAACAAATACTGAGCCAAGGCAGAACTACTCTGAACACTGAAAGAGGGCTCTTGCAAAATTCTGCAAATTAAATTTCATAGGGTAAATTTCTAGCTGATTTCACAGGGAGCTCACAATTTCAGCCATTGTCACTCATTGCACAGGTCATGGGTATACAAAGGTGTCTATGCCCCATGAGACTCCACCAGTGACCACCTTATGGGAAATAGCCTCTTCTTGCCTACAAAGCTGATGTTGATCACTCGTTTGTGTGAATACAACAGTTCCAACACAAGTACCTTATTTTGTGGGAGTAAAGAGAGCTAAAAAGATTACAGCAAAGATATATCAGATGGGCAAAAATGATGTAAGAAGGCATTCTGAATTGGATTCAAGCTATTCATTCAAAAGGCATTAATTAACAGCTTTTAGAAGTTGTCTGCATAACTTAGAAATACTGAGAAATGATGGTAAACATTTAACCTTCATCTAGTGACTGGGATGCAAGTCCTCTGCTACAATCTGTTTTACAGGAAGGTTTGATGCTTCTGGTACTTCAAAATTGCTTTCTGTATGTGAAATCCATTTTATCTCTGGGCCTCTCTTTGATGGAGAGAAATAAGCAGCTCTGGATCACGAACGTCTAATGCAGGGGTAATAAACTACCTTCTGAATTCTTTTCTGTTTGCAGTGATATTCTAGGAGGCCCCAGAGCTCAGGTGGAGAGTAAACTTCTAGTTTTTACCTGGTGAGTCTAAATTACATGAATTCCATTCTCTGTGGAGTGAATATACATCTCATAAGAGAAAACAATTTTGGTGTCATATGGGATAAAAACAACATCAAGAATCACTGCTGTTTAACTTCTACCCAAAAATGGCCTTTTTTTTAGTTATTTCCAATGTCTCATGAAGGCTTCCACTCCACTTGTCTTCAGTAACCCTGCATCTGAAGATGACAAATCACTTTGCTGACATCAATTTATTATCATAAAGTGCTTGTGGGCAGTGATTAGTTAAGGATAAACACAGGAGTCTGCTTTTAAACAAGATAATCCAGACTTTACCCCCTTCTCCCTGCCTGGCCAAGAATACCAGAGAGCATCACTGCGGTGCAGGACCAGGGCTTTGCTCCAGCTTTCCTCATTTGCTGTGTGGATTGTCTTAGCACCACCCTTTCCTCTTGTAAATCAGTGCTTGTCACTACATGATCCAAATCCTGCCTTATCCTCATGTAAGTAATTAACATACCAGTGGCTCAGTTCAAAGCTGGAACTCCTCCTTTAGCAACACATCCCATTGTCTCTTAGGACAATTCCTACCCTCGCTGCAGAGAAACAGGGTGAAGCTGAAGGGCTGATTATGGCTATAGAAGGGGCATGTTGCCATTGGTACATACTATCCCAGTGCTCATGTGGTTTACACCATGTCACCAAGGGTCTTGGGAATGATTTACTCATCAAGGCTGTGGAGGTAATTCTGCATCACCTGTCAGTACAGTCTATTATACCATGTTTTCTTATCACTACAGGTTAGCAATAATAGCACAAATATGTCCTGAGCTGACTGAATGAAATAAGTTTCAAATTAACTAATAAACCCAGCATGGATGGGCCACTGTGTCCTCCTCCAAAGACACTTTACACCCAGCCAACTGAGAAATTGTGCAAGACTACAATTGTTAATGAGGCCAGCACAGTGGCAAGAGGGGAAGCTGCCTTTTAATCTGCTTCATGCATTATCATTGCTGGACAAATTCAAACTCCAGCTGTCTCTGCTTCTGACAACGCTGAACAAAACAAAACACAGCTTGATTTGCAGACACAAGATTAATAATGCCGTGCTGGCATTTAGAAAGACTTGCTATTGACTTATAAACCAAGATATCTTCAGATTTGAGAATCATATAAATTTTCTCAAAGCTTAAAGCACCAAGATTCAAGTTCTCAGACTGTTCTCTTCAGAAAATAACTCCAATTGGTAAGGCAGTGTTCAACTTCTTCCCTCAACAAGCTTCCTCAGAAGCTGCTGGCTTTAAGCAAAGTCAGAAAAGACTGGCTAATGAGTCTATCCTAATTTTCTTTTTATGACTTTTAATTTTCAAGATAAGACTTACTGATCTTCAGTGAAAATACATTAATTATGACAGGTTAACTCTAAAATTTTCCTGAATATTTGTGTTCCCTTCATGAGAGTTAATTTACTTGTTCTGTTACTTTTGTAGCCCTGAGAAAGGCATGCAGGTATGCAGATAATAATAAAAAATTATGACCTTTTGTCTTAGCATATAAAAATGTATATTTTTAAATCTAGAGATTCTTGCTTTACTCTATCTGAGTATGGTTTAATTACACTTTATTCTGCTGTAATTGCTCAGATGGAAGAGTAATTTCTAGCTTTGATGAACAGCCTAAAGATTTCTGTCCATAATGGAGCTTATTCCCTTTTAGCGTAACAAGGAAGGGTATTTACTCTTACCTACATAATAAGTTTGTTGGAGCCTGATTGCACTGTGCAGTGTGTGCCTTTTGTTTGTTCACAAGTAGAAAATTCAATTAGTTTCTGTAAACCAACAAGAGCTGTGACAGATGGGATTATGCTATGGAGCAATGTTTGAAATAGTCTCCTTGGCAAACAGAAATTGTTTGGAAGGGTTTCTTGATGCCTTAACGGAACGGATGAGTTTCCCATTCACTTGGACAAGGATCAGAATCCAAGAGATGTGAAGCCAAAGGATGCAACATCTGTCCCATCTGGGATGTACAGAAAAGGAATATTCTCTGAGTTACTTTTTAGGGTTTTCCAATTTTCCCCTCTCTTTGAAGGACGCTTAACCAACTTGTTACTTGATTTCTTAACTTGGCACACTATGTAACGGATGAGTTTCCCATTCACTTGGACAAGGATCAGAATCCAAGAGATGTGAAGCCAAAGGATGCAACATCTGTCCCATCTGGGATGTACAGAAAAGGAATATTCTCTGAGTTACTTTTTAGGGTTTTCCAATTTTCCCCTCTCTTTGAAGGACGCTTAACCAACTTGTTACTTGATTTCTTAACTTGGCACACTATGTAGTGTACTGCATTTTAAAAAAAAATCCTTCTGGATTTATGCACATCACATACTGAGCTCCCCATGCTGGGAACTCTCATCAATTGTTCTGCATGATTTTTCATGGTAAAGGCATCCTCAAGAACTGGCAGACTACTCTTCCCTAAAGATTTAGTGCCAAAGGGGTACAAAAAACCTCAGCAAAGTGGCTTTGTGTGGAAGATCAGCACAGAAACAACAACCAAATGCTCATGCACTAAAGGAATAGATAAGTAACAGAAACCTTGTGACCCTCTACTCTCTCGTCTTTTTAACACAGAAAGTTTAGATAAGGACTCAACACCATCCCAAGCACACCCATGATGAAGTACCTGCAAGTGCAGAGTGCAAGGATTGCTGCTGCATGGCATCCAAGGCTACAGCTGGTGAGGAATTCAGCAACAAAACAGGTTTTCACTGGAAAATGCCAATTCATCAGAACTGAAATGCTTCAGGGAGACATATCGTATTCAATGAACTTCCAACACAGCACAGGCAAGGCTCCAAGCTGGTTTCCTGCCAGCTCGCCTGGTGGGCTGCCTGGAAGCCTGAATGATCAGGGTATGAAACTCTGGGACATCCCTGCCATACGGATTGCCCTGTAGCCAGGGACCACAAGGCTTCCTGAAGCTTTGGACTTCCCCGTTTTATCCCAGACTCAGCTCCTAGCTCTGCAAAAGGAAAACCAAAAGCCATGGGAATGCTGGCTGAGCTGTAAGCACCAGACCCTGCATTTCCCAGCCCAGTTTTATTTTGAGTTTTACTTCTTCTAGTGCAGTGGTTTTGCTTATTTTTCATTACTTCCTCCCTCCCTTTCCTTTTTCACCCTACACTTGGAAAGCATATATTTTTTTAAAAATCCATGTTTCTTTCTGAAACAGAGAAAATTCTCTAATTCCCCCCCACCCCAGCACCCAGAATTTCCTGTGGAACAAAACGTTTATCTTTAAACCTGCTCTACTCAGCACATTCTTCCTCTCTACAGCCTCTCTGTTGCTTGTCCTCTCCCAGTAAAATAGAGCTGTGCCATTCTGCTGCTTTCCAGGCCTTACGTGCTGAGGAAAGGAGGACTTGGCCCTTCATGCTGCATTCAGTGCAAGAAACCTGATCCTGCTCCGTTAAGGGGAGGAATTATTTAGGCTATAATTTGCAGTGATTACACACTGTTTGGTATGTTGTCATATGCCATGTTTGCACTTCCTCTGCCAACACATGGACAAGGATGTGTGTAGTCATTTATTAGGTTTGCACCAGAGACAAACGGAATAGCAGCAGGATTAGCTGTCATTCATCTTCAATTGAAAACCCTTCCTTGGCCTGTGGTTGGCTAATGAAATCCACATCGTCAGAATTCATAGTGTTCAGCTGGCTGCAAAGAAAAACCCTCAAGATGCTTTCAATTAGAAGTTGTAAATAATGGTCAACTTGTGTGCATTTTACAGACAGCCACAAAAATCTGCATTGCTACTTTGAGGAGTGAGCCCAGAGCTGGGATCCACATTATGCAGACTTACATTTCCAGGGGCTATATGAACAGGTGTCTAAATTCTCAACTCAACAGTGGGTGCTAGTGTCTCCCTCGAAAAAAAAAAAGCTAGATAATGAGTATGACTATGCGTCATGCCTTTGACCATATCACTCCATAAGAAAGATTATTTTCACTGCTTTCACATGGCATTTAATTGAATTAACAGTAAATAGTACTCTCACTAAAACAGTACTTCACTGTGTAAGTGAAATCTCCCAGGACTACAGTAGTACCTAACACATGCTAATGAGAAAGTTTTAAACTTTCCCTCAGTATTTATCTATGCAAGGATAATATAGTTTCAGAACAGTTTATCAAAACAAATCTAAGTCCTCTGATTTAGCATTTTGACAATTAATGGATTTTCTAGGACACACAAGATCCAAGAGTCTGCTATCTCCCTTCCCTGTTTCTAGAAATAAGGTACCAGATTTTCTGAAGTTTCTTATTTCCTTTTGCTTCTGGTGCTGTAGACTCTGTTCCTCACAGACAACTTCTTATTCAGGCATAAAGCAAGCCCAACAAGATGGCACTGAACTGCAAATTTAACCTTGGTTTTCAAACCCAGGCCTCCATTTTGCAGGTAGTCCCAGTGAAATGTTTCCATAATTTGACAACTTAAACTCATTCCAGCCATTACTAACTATGATTTTATATAATTGCTGACTTAAACTGCAAGACATGTTGCTGCAACTGTTAAAAAAATTGGAATGTTATGTTTAAGAACTTATCTCCTCTCTATTCTTATCTGCAAGTATCGAACGAAGACATTGTGTATTGAGTCTGCATGGCAAGATTTTGGTAGTGGAGTGGCTACAGAGATGGCTTCTGTGAGAAGCTGCTAGAAGCTTCCCCCATGTCCAGTCGATTCCAGCTGGCTCCAAGATGGACCCACCACTGGCCAAGGCTGAGCCCATCAGCAACAGTGGTATCACCTCTGGGATAACATATTTAAGAAGGGAGAGCCCTGTGCAACTGCTGTCAGAGAGAACAGTGAGTGTGTGTGACCAAAACAACCCTGCAGTCAGTGGAGAAGGAGGGGGGAGGACGTGCTCCAGGTGCTGTAGTAAAGATTCCCTTGCAGCCCATAGTGAAGACCATGGTGAGGCAGGCTGTCCCCCTGCTGCCTATGGAGATACACTGGGGAGCAGATATCTACTTGTAGACCATGGATGACCTCACACTGGAGCATATGGATACCTGAAGGAGTCTGTGACCCTGTGGGAAGCCCATCCTGGAGCAGGCTCCAGGCAGGACCTGTGGAACCCTGGAGCGAGGAGGACATGCTGGAGCAGGTTTGCTGACAGGACTTGTGACACCATGGGGGACCCACACTGGAGCAGTCTGTTCCTGAAGGACTGCACCCCATGGAAGGAATTCATGCTGGAGCAGTGCATGAAGAACTGAAGCCCATGGGAAGGAATCATGTTGAAAAAGTTTGCAAAGAACTGTCCCATGGGAGGGACCTCATGTTGAAGCAGGGAATGAGCATGAGGAGTCCTTCTCCTGAGAAGGAGGGCGTGGCAAGATACAAGGTGTGCGACTGACCACAACTCCCACTCCCCATCCCCCTACACTGCTCAGGGTGGGAGGAGGTAGAGAGAATCAAGAGTAAAGTAATTGAGAAGTAATCATGAATAGGAATTGCAATTGTAAATTGTAAAGTAATTGTGAAGAAGGCTGGTTGGGGGAGAAGGTGTTTTAAAGATTTGGCTTTATTTCGCATTATTCTACCCTGATTTATTGGCAGTAAATTAAACTAATTTCCCCAAGCTGAGTCTGTTTTGCTTGTGACCATGACTGCTGAGTGATCTCTCCCAGTCCTTATCTTGACCCACAAGTCTTTAGTTATATTTTCTCTCCCCTGTCCAGGTGAGGAAGGGAGTCATAGAGTGGCTTTGGTGGACACAATTGGTTGACACCCAGCCAGGGTCAACCCACCATACCCTGCATAAGCCACTTCTAAGCTACTGGAAGTAAAAAATCATGGCACATTCATCTATTCAGGCAGTTAATTGTCAGCCACAGAATGAAACACAGCTTAGCAAATATCCTGCAGACTTCAAACTCATAGCTGGGATCTCTGTCTGCTTGTGGGCCGCAGCAATTTTGAAACCACTCTGAGTTCCTCAGATCTCTAAAGAGTTATAACTGTATTTATTACCATTAGCATACTTTTTTTACTGATTACTGTTTATGTTGAACTTGAGAAGCTCTTCAGGGAGAAAGAAGACACACACACACTAACACATACACAGACATGCACTTGCCGTACCTGCTTTGGTTGTCACTTTCAGCAAATAACCATCCAAATCGATCTGAAATTGTGGTGTCTTGCAAGGTAGTGAGATTCGGGTCCCATTCCACTTCACTGTGAGGTGCTGCTGGAGGCTGATAGTGTTTCTGCCCAGCACAAGGTCCACTGACTTTGTCCAGGAGAAAGAACGGGTCCGACGGGCATCGTTTTTTACCAGCACCTGAAAGGGCGAGGCAGAGGAGGAGCAGTCTTTCGTCAAAACGTACTGACATGTTCCCTGAAAGTTAAATGTCCGTCCATCAAAAGTGTTGTAGTGAGGGTCTCCAAATACAGTGCAAACTCCAGGCTCTGCAGGTGAGTGAGAAACAAAAGCGCCATATCAGGATCAATGTTGGAAAAAGCAGTTGATAAGAACTTACAGGACTCTGCTCTCAATGACAGATTTTGGCTACTGCCCACTAGGAATATGCACATCTCTGAAAACCAAAAGCTTCATGGCTTTAGTAGAAGTGGGTGGGAACCAAAGGCCAGTTTATCCCTGGGGCAGCATAGGAAGGCTAACCTGTATCTTTGCCCTTAATCACAATGCACCATCAGAACAGTTTAGGTTATTATAATGCCAGTAAAATTTTTCATATTTCAGTTACTCCCTGAAATTAAAAGCCATCAGACCACTTTAGCAGGGACTGATTCTGTCCGTATTCTACATAAACACACTTAGAAATATTATACATCTATAAACTAGGTGTGACTACATTTCCCCCTCCCCCAAATACAGAATTACACAATCACAGAATATCTGGAGTTGGAAAAGACCCACTAGGATCATAAAAATCCAACTCTTAGCCCTGCACAGGATATCCATGAGAATCACACCATCTACTTGAGAGCATTGTCCAAATGCTTCTTGAACTCTGGCAGACTTAGTGCTGTGACCCTGGGGAGCCTGTTCCAGTGCCCAACCACCCTCTTGGTAAAGAACCTTTTTTTAATATCTAACCTATACCTTCCCTGACACAACTTCAGGCTATTCCCTAAGGTGTCCTGTCACCAGTTCTCAGAGAGATTATCTGTACAACCAGGATCTTTACTTGGTGTTACAAGCTATTGTATATGTTGTTTATACACAACTGACTTGTAGTAGTTACTGTTATCACACATCAACTAAAAGTCAGTAGTACCTGACTAATCATTTGCATCATTATGAAAGGATGGAGATTTCTTATGGATGTTTGCAGCCATATGTTGGTCACAGAAGTCACAGCTCAATGGCAGAATGTTTCCACACTCAAGTCAATGATGCCTAGTTACTCTGCAGCAACTCAGCAATTGATTGAATTGCCTTACAATCAAAGATAGCAGCAGGTTTATTTGCCTTGCAGCCTTCTTAGTAGAACAATAGGTTCTAACCACACCTTATTGCTGCTGTTCCTGGAAAAAGGGGTCTGAAGGCAGAGAAATGCACACTGCTACTGCCAGCTGGATACTCAAGGCCTAAGGCTGCTTTTGAAAGATGATGCCTGTTTTAGGGGAAGGACTTGGTGCAGCATCACAATTTGACACAGTAATCAGAGAGCTGTGAACAGCACCAACAATAAAAAAAACACCCAAAAAAAAAAACCAAAAACCAAAACCAAAAAAACCCTAAAGAAAAACAGTAAAGGAGGGAAGAGTAACAAGGAATAGAATTTATTCACTGGAAAAAAAATCCAACTAACAATGGCCCGCCTGAAAAATCAGCTTAAAAAAGGCAAATTCAAACCTACAAAAAAGAGGGAGACATGAATGTCATGAAGAAGGGAAAGGGTGATTTGTACTTTATCCCTAACTTGCCACGTGCATGCTTCTTCAGCTAACTAGCTTTAACTAACAAGCTTTAACTAGCCTTGGCATTGATATTACTCCCTTTACTGTGTCTGGCAAATAGGGACCAAAAGGCTCAATTTCTTAAGGACATCATGTTGACAGCTCCATTAGAAATCAAAATTAACCATATTTGGTCAACACCTCTGGAAAACAGGCCTCAGAGACTTTAAGCAGTGCCCGAAAAACAAGACACTTAGGTAAGAGAGTGCTTTTAAAAATGTGCACATCTGTGAGTTTTCTTTTCCTCATTGATAACAATGAGGATGTTAATAACTGCTTTCCAAAGGTCATTAAAAGATTAGCTGATTCTCCATATATTGGCAGGAATCATACAGGTTTTAATAATCAATGTAATTTTTACCAATTGGAAAAAAATCTGCACATTTGATATGGAGACCATCTGACTTAACTGTGTGCTACATCATACAAACATGTTTCTGATTTCCTTATGTATTCATGTAAGTATCTGCATGATGAATATTAAGATATATGTTATTACCAGCTCTGATTCTACTTCATTTTTTCAGGTTTTAATTTTTCTTTATGCATAGTGACACCTGTTATGAAAACAAGGAAACTATGAACAAAAAAATCAGCCAAACATCAGTGAAGATTTCAGAAGAAAGAACTGGGCTTTGTCTGCATTTATAAAGGCCAAGAATGTGCATATGTTATAGATGTTATTAACCAATCTATCAGGAGGAGGAGGCTGATTCTTCACCTAAGCAAGTGGCTAAGAGGCAAGACATGAGAGGAACAAACATAATTTAGAGATGTGCAAGTAAAATTGATAGCACCAATGGGATCCAAAGGAAATATTTATTTTTAATTTCTAATGTGTTAGGCAGAGTAATGTTGTTTTATGTTATGTTACATCGTGTCACGTCATATGTCAACTTGATGCAGTGCAGTTAAAAATGTATTTTGGACTGGATAGTTGAATGTCTGATCCAAATTTTGCTGTTTTCTTTAATAACCAAGGAAATGGAGGAGGGAAAATCCACCTAAAAACAGTCTGAATAATTGATTCTCTGATATCACTGTGTAAAACATTCTTGAAAGGTTTGCTAAAATTGTGGCGTTTAAAAAATAACTCCACACCCTGCAAGAGTGTGTGTGATAACTCAGGCACTGCCAGTAAGAAGAACTGGTTGGCCCAGGAATAAACCTTAAATACTGGGTGTAACATGACTGCAAAAGACAGTCAACATGAAAAGAATTCCTGCCATTTTTAGATTTTGGGTTGCTGTTTATTTCTTTTTGGGAGAGTTTCAATCACATCGTATTTTATGGTTTGCTTCTTTTTTTCCTTTTTTTTATCCCTTCTGAAACAAACCAGTCTTTCTGCTTTGCAGTTTTTGAAATCTACTGGAAATACTGGTTCTCTAGTTAGGGTTGTATGTGACTTGCTTCTCTGTCAGGACATAACTTTGGTAATGCAGCAACACCTCTCCATCCATTATGTTCCCCAGCACTGGAGTGTGAATTTTGCTAACTTATGCTAACAAGGCATAGTGTCATGGGTGAAGACCCTTCCCTTTTTTTCCTACAGTAAATTGTTTCCAGCTTATTGCCAATACTCCTTGTCTCTATCAGCTGTCTAGGGTAGAGTTAGAAAAGGGCAATTATATACAATACTTCCCCCTAAGACTCCCCCAGCCTCCATGTATTTTCAGCTTAGGGACTTTCTGAGTTAGACATGGTTTCTCCTTATTTAGTAACCTTTGATAGACTTCTTTTTTGTGATTTTTCCCAGTCTCCCCTTGAACCCAAAAGTGTTTTTAGCATCTACAACATCCTTGGGCAAAGTGCACGGAGAACCATTGCCTCTTGCTTGTTTTGAACCTGGCATTCATGACCTTTGGCGTCTTTTTTTTGCTAATCTGCACATGCACAAGAAGGCAAATATACCCATTCCTTCTCTATACCTGAAAAATACAGATTTTTTCAAAGGAAGACCCCAGAGCTATGTTCAGGAGGCTGTGATTTTCAAAACACCTCAGGCACTCAACTCTGATGAAACATTTTTGAGAGCCGGCTGCAAGCATCTCTAAACCTCTCTTGGAAATCCTACATGTAGGCTCCCAAATCAGTATTAAAAACTTGCAGCTTTCATAAAAGCTTTTGGAAGCTTGGTGTTTTTCACATTTGTTTTTTCAGCAGCTAAACACAGACTTCATGCTCTTACATTTGACAATATTAAACTACACATGTGATTAATGCAACTTGCTCAGCTCCCACCTAAGGCTCTACAGCTTACTTGCAAACTAATAATAGTATTTAGGTCCTAACATGAATGCTATAGAACTCTTGGCATGCTTTGCTTGCATTTACAAATCATGTTCTCCATTCAAATGAAATAGTGACTTTCATTAGAAAAGGTAACAGGGAAGGTAACTGTGGGCAAGGAGCACTGTTTTTGAAAACACGTTTAGCTGTACAAAAATAGGAAGCTAAAAAAGCAACAGCACGGAAAAGAACATATTAGTATTTCCCAAGTTTCAACATATTCTCATAAAGGGAAAAAAATCACAACTTGTTTTGGCCAATATGAAGGGATAAAAGTCTGAATGACCACTAATCTCTAGTAAGTAGTATGCTGAGTAAAGTAAGAACCACTTATTGAAATAAGTGGTTGCCAAAAAGTACCTTTCTGCCTTCCACCCAATGCCCCCATTCTCCCAGACAGTATTTAGCCTTTTTAGAAAGGCAAAATATATATACTGCTTGGTGGAGGCCAGACAGACAGTCAGCACACACATCCTGACCAGCCAGAGAGCATGAGCATATTGGCTGGGCAATTAGCACACTTGTAGCTCCAGACCAGCCACAGGATATATTGTCTCTAGCTGGGTTTATTATTTGTTGGGATATAAAGGAAATGGGACACAAATCCATAGGAAACCAGGCTCTGTTAGCTCTGGTGCTCATGGAATAGCTTGTTTTATTTTTTCAGGAGATCAGAGCAGTCAATTGAAGTCCAAGATGTCCAGATGTCTGGTCACACTCTTCTGGGCTTGTAGGTAGTTAAGAGTGGCCAAGAAAAATATACTTTAAATTGCAACTAAAATTGGTTTGGACACTGTGTAAGTAAGGAGAGGGAGGAAAAAATACAAGTTTACCAGTTAAGGGTGTTCTGGTTGCACATCTATAATTCAAAACGATCTCAGCTTTTTAAAAATAAAATGAACCTTTGAATGCAATTATCCCATATGCTGAATTAAGCCTTAAATCAAACAGAACACATTATTAACTTTTGAAAACTAGCAACAGAACATGCATAATAGAATTTCATTAGGTTCTCTGTAAAAAATGCATAGCCATAGAGTACTTTCCTCATAACTGCTGCATAGTGCAGCTTGATATAATACACATTACAAGGTGTGGTGTCAAAAACTCTACAGGAGCCTTTATGGTCTATTTCATAAATAAAATAGCTATTCCAATTTGTCTGAATACATATTTATACAGTAGACCATCACGGCTGAAATGGGAGGTAAATCATGAACAATATTCCAGTATGAATAAACAATTGCCGTCTTTCTGTTGATGTATTTCTCCATGGCAAGGAAATAACACAAGAAACAGGGGCCTATGTAGTCCTTTAGTCTCACTTCCTGCTCTCACAGGTACCTACAATGCATCAGCCCACCTCTTTTCTTATTATTTTTCTTTCTTTGAAGAGTCAGCACTTTTTTTTTCAGCATTTCTATAAGAACACATAAAAAGCATGCAGGACCAGGTGAAAATACCAACCTTTCACTCCTAAGTCTCAGTCCAAATGCCTTTGAGTTTAATTTAGCTTCACTGATTATTTTGTCAATTAAAAAAAGCTGCAAAATAATTTGTGATGAACAAAATTTTCTGCCTTAACTGCAAAATGAAACGTGTACTGCAAGACCTAGATGACTGCAGTGCACTTTGAAAAAACTTCATCCAAAAAATCTCACAATGACTTAGGTGAGACTGTGTTAGGATTATTCATCATGATTAAAATATATCTACATGGTTTCAGTAGTTTTCATTCTGCATGCTGCAAGTTCAGTAAGGTCTATCACTTCTTTGTCAAGAACAAAGATTTTACTTCCACTGCAAATTCCTATCTTTGTCTGCAGCTGAGAGCAGTCTGTCAGCGTTATTTGAACTCAGGTTTAGTGTTTTCTTTTTTTTAATATGAAAATGACCTTGGTCTAACATAGGATTACTAATTTATGGAATTGACGTCAGTGGTGATTTTTCTAAATCAAGCCCAAAAGAGTACATTTCATTACATTTTTACAGCAGCATAAACTAAACTGTTGAATTTTCCACTGGTATGACCACTGTGTTTAATTAGTGATAACTGTACGCCAGCCATGAAGCTTAAACAGCAACATGCCAAAACCAACCATAGTTAACTTCAGCAACAGTAGACAAAAGAGACTCTCCAGCCCTTTAGGAGATGAGGTACTTTTTCTCTCTGCAACAAACTGCTTTGAAAATAATCCTTTGATTATTTTTTTTCAGTTTAAAGTGTATCCTCTAACAACGTGACTGGTTTTGACCCACTTGATAGAAATTGGCTGCATTTAAACTGTACTCAAAGCTCTCCTGTGTACAGTATGTTCTTGTACCTCCTTATGTTGTTTTTACTTTGGAAAATTAATATCTGCTGGACCGCCAGAAATGTTTGGTGTGTTAGTATGTGGAGAGAGGATCAACATGAGCTAGTGAGGGAAAGGGCTGTGCACAAATCAGAAACTGGCTGAGTTAGCAAAGTTTCTAATTACTATCTGAGACAGTGGTCATCACCAATATTCTTATGCATTTTGCTGGTCTTATGTTGTGATGAGAGTTATTCCACGTCTGGTGCAAAGGTGGAATTAGTTCCTTGCAAATGGCAATTGTTGAAACACTAATGCTAAAATAGCTAGTAGCAGCCACCACTGCTGTATGACAGTGGGTATTTAAGCTCTTTGATTACATTACCTGATAAAAGCTGGGAGTGCCCTTTTAATCATAAACGCTTAGAATCAGCTCTCTCCCAAACACTAATCGAGTCCATAGTGAGGCAACTCTCTAAAAAAAAGGACCTCTCTGTTTTATGGGCAATGGTGCATCATTCCATTGTGGGACAGGACAACGAGCCTCCCAGGCTCTAGTACAGCCAGTGCAATACAGACAGGATCCATAAGAAGACAAATTAGTACCTAGGAGATCACAGGGATGATGGAGCCAGGCTCTTTCCAGATCTGCATGGCAGGAGGACAAGCAACAATGACCTACCCATAATTTCACATGCCTTATAGTCATGACCATTCTTTTCTTACATCATCAAGAGGTTTTTAATTTTTACATAACGTGGTTCCTAGATGAATTATTTTTACCTTGAAGAAATCTATGTTTTTGCCTCCTTTTTTACCTCCTATTTTTTTCTTCCTTCTTATTATCACAAGTCATCTTTCACTAGCAGCATTTCTGAAGGAGTTGCTGTACTGTCTTCTTTTTAACCTCTTACAGCACAGGGCCTCCTGTGCTTTGAGAGAATGGATGGCCCATTATTTTCCTCCCCTCTCATGTTACAAAAGAACACATGGGAAAGGTTAAATGAGACTGAAACATAAGAAAAAAAGGTGAGATAAGAGATAAGTTCATGACACTAATGATATATCATGTCTGAGCAAAGGTCTATGCAAATTACTTCTCCCTTGAACCTGAGCTAACATGAAATCAGCTGCTGGTCTGTTGAATTCTTTTTCATTTCTTCCTCTGCTCAGTATTATTTCAAGTGTTTCTGAGGTTGTCACTTGTATTTAGTTTCATTTGGATAATGAAGACTTGCAAACTAGATTTACTTTATCACAAGTTACACATTTCAAAATAATTGAGCTGCAGAGTAGAAAACCAGATATTTAGCATATGGAATTTTTGCAATCCAAGAGCAGCCAGAATCAAGTTGATCAGCAAAACCATTTGATCTTACACAAAAGAATAGGAACACTCTCCCTCCTTAAAAACAGTTCCTTCTTTCAGAAGCCTTCCTATAGATCATAAACCCCCATTTTAGCAGTCTGTCCCTATTTGGTAAAATATTTAAACATGCACTGAAGGAAATATGTAATGGTATCCTGCTAACTTCGGTGACGACAGGTTTCCCTGTTGACTTAAATAGGACAAGCTTAAAGATAAGTATTTGTGTAAGTGCTTTGCTGACTAGGAGAGAACACAAGTGATATTGCAATTTAATGATTATTCCTGAAGTGAAGAGCAGAGGGATAAAAAGGCAATTGTTGAACTAAACATTATAAAGAAAGAAGGATAGTTGTCTATTCTACTTTCCACTACTGGCCCAGACTATGTCTTACATTTCTGCACACCTTTTTTTAACTCTTATAAATCATCTGCAAAGGTGTTGGATTATATATACACATAGATGGACTGTTAGTTACAGGTATAAAAGGTACCCGAGTCCTAAAAGTTACAACTCTATTCATTTGCTTATTTAATTGCCTACGAATTTCACAGGCCAACAATATCCTTCAAAATGCAGCACCTCAGATTTGACAAAAATAGTGACATTTAAAAACAATTAAATCAAAGCAAAATACCCACACATTTTATTTTAAATTTCCAGATTTACAGGAGGCAAAATCCATAGCCAGTAATAATCACCTGCCCTTCAGCCACCTTTAAAATGAAGGCAGAAAGGCAAACATACTTCTACTGTATTTATTGTCTCAAAAAGAATAAAAAAGAATTTAAAGAATGTGAAGAAAGAACTTACTTTCAGTGCAAATAGGACAGCATCCTTTTCTGTTCAGGATTTTACCCTAATTGGGAGAAAGACAGGCTGATTTAATGAAAGAGTTTTTGGAGCAATGACTGTCATGTTGTAAAGCTGGATAAGCCTTTGAAAATAGTTCAAGTTGTGTTTGAACTCAATGCCCTGGTTACAGCTTCAAATATCAGGTGCTAAAAACAGACAGAAGTATTCAAAGAGGTTTCTGGCAGTCTTATAAGAAATGAAAAACTGAAAGGGTTCTCTGTTACCACATTTTTCTTTAGAGAGAGTGTGAGAGAATTTTGGATTTATATTCACAGATACCTAAAGCAGACTAGTCATTCCGTTAACAAAATTGTTACCTTTTCCCCCACCTCCCCTAAGTATGTACAATACATTTCCTATCCATACCCTTTTAGTCACCACACAGAGGCAATCTGCTCCACCCCCACCCAAATGATTCATTTTTCCAAAGAAGGAAGGAAGGACTGATAGAGACAGTTTGGCCAGATTTCTTTCATGGCTAAGTCTTGTGGTACTGCCAACAAATCATATTACCAGTCATGGATCAATCTCTCCAATGAAGGAAATGTATGTGCATTCAAGAATGTGCAACATTTAAAAGCAAACAATTTGGTCTTGTCATAGTAATAAGGACAATAGGTTCATATATTTATTTACTACTCTGCCCAGGTCAATTCTATTTATGGTTGTGTCTTATATAAGGCTGACTAGAAGCAGGAGGCATGGCTCTTTGCATGTACATTCATGTTCCTTTTCAGTCTTCAGTGACTTAAAAGATGTTCTGTCTGATTTTACTTAAATTCCCTAAAGCTAACCATTGAGCTAGAGGATAAGCCTGGAAAATTTCAGACTGAACAATGTGTTTTTCAAGCAAAAACTGGCACTGGTTATAACAGAACTTACGGTGATATTGGAGCTCACCCATATTCCCATACAGGGAAGGAAGAGGCATATGGAGCTGTGCTGCTTCTCAGCTCTGACCCTTTGCTCCAAAAGCAATTGAACACAGAGAAAGTCCCCTTTATGTGCCTAGTGCTCCTGTTTCCCATCAAGCAGGTGAGCAAGGTAAGGCCAGCAAGAGTGAGCAAATGGAGCTGTGCTATCCCATCCCTCAACAGTCCAGAAAACTTGTGAAAATGGACAAAAAACTGACAAAAATCACAGGTCTATGCAAGGAACATGGAAGTAGGCACAGGCAGCAAGCCCTATTGCTGTCTGCCTTGCTTTCTGCCAACCTTTGACAATCTGCATGGGGAGAAATGAACTCCAAGTATCTGCTGGCAGACTGGTGTAGAGAATGCTCTATCCTGCTCTTGCTTGATGCACCCAGATGGCATGTGTGAGTGCTTGGAGATGAGTGCACTTGTGCACAACATCCACAGGGCAGAGCAGTTCAGTGTAAGCTTGTCTTTGAATGTGCAGCTGCATGTGAACAGACTTGAGATACACGTGGACTTGAGAAAAGGGCTGGATCAGAGTTTCACTGGCACAGAGGGCGGTGCTTAGATTTTTGTGTGACCACCAGGCCTCAGGGCAAAGAGAATAGCTGAGGACCAGGCTGCAACTGGAAGGCCTACCAAGCACCTGCTAGGACAAAACCGCTTAAAGGAGGAGCCGTTAAAACCACACAGAAATAGGGAGCCTGGCATCACATATTTGTATGAATGGAAGACATGTAGATGAATGCCACACACTGCACTGCACAGCCTTACCTCTCTGTCTCAATAAAAGAGGTGAAATCATCAGCCAAGCTGGAAGTGGCAAGAATTCAAGTGAAATTGGAATCTCCAAGGCGGCCTGCTGAGGCTGGTTACTTGAGCCACCATGTTGGCCCGAGATCCTGTTTTTGTCTTGTAGAATAAGGAAACCCATTATTGCTAACATGTGCTGCAAGAGTTCGTTAGCATTGAGGGTTCCCTTAGGAGTGGGCTAAGTGATGTGATCCCATTTTTCCCTATGAATATTTATAAGGAGACCACATTTGAGTCTATTTATTTTCTAAGATTTTTCTTCTTTTTTTTATGAGGTTTTCAATCTTATGTCTGAGGTTTATATTTTCTATTTTTTTTCAAGGCAAGACTAATTGCTGGGGGGGAAGGGAGTTGTTTGGTTGTGCAATAGCAACAGCTGTTGTTTTTTTGTGCCTCATTTGGCACTAGAGTAAAAACAGCAACTTTTTGTTTGTAATAATAACAGATGTGTTTAACATTAAATGCAGTCTGTGCTAGAGATGGGTGAACGTGTTCTGAATAAATTTTCAGCTCACTTGAAGTTCACGGGTTCAAAATTTACCCACAGAATCGACCTCTGCAAATGTCTTCACATGCCATGAATTTAGTTCTATTAACTTTTGCACAGCCTGGGATCTCAGAAAAGGCTATACGCTATAAAATTCACCATGCTCTCCTCTAGCAGTACCAAAAGAGACATGTTCATGGCCACTAATCATTACCACAGATTTAAGATAGTAGTGAGGAATGAAAAGGCATAAGGAGAGGAGGCAAGGTGAAAAATTATAAGAATGGATAATCAGAAAGGAGATGCCACAAGGTGAGAAAGAGGCTAGAGCAGAGCTAGGGCAAGTAAACAGCAAATTAAGTAAGAAAATGTCTAAAGGATCTCTGATACTCAGTCTTGCCAAGTGTAGAGATTACTCTCTTTCTAAAAAGTATTTAAGCATGTGTTTAAGTTTAAGCATACATCGAGGGCCAACTAAATTCAGCAGAACTGGACACATACTTAATAGCTTTGCTGGCTAAGGGCCAACATGTACCATACCTTGCAGGCTCACACTCCAGGTAACTCAGAGGGGGAATATCTAAGTGGAATCAGTGGTCAGAAAGTAAGAAACAGAAACCACAAGCCACAAGGCTCCCTAGAAGTCCAAGAAGGACCAATTCTACTATAAATGTGCCAGGAGGGACTGAATTTGTGAAATGTACTGCCTCCATTGCAGCTGAAAAGAGGCTAAGAAAGACACTCCCTGTAATTACTGATGTGGAATTAAATCCTCCAAAAGGAAAAGAACAAAAGAAACAGAAAAATGTGCCTATACCTATGACGAAAATTAAAGAAATGGCAGAAACAGTCTTCTAAAATATGTCAGTCTGCAACCAATATATTGAATAATACAAATGGTTGCACAGTATTGGAAATTTCTGCAGCATTACCACTTTGAAATCCATCCTTTCAAGAAATAATTGGCCAAAATTTATGCTGATAAATAAAATTCCATCACCAAAAAAAACCCCACAATATCATGCAAAGAGTATTAAGACTGCATGGTAAAGGATTTAAGTCAAGAAATAATATTCTAAGTTCTTTGTGAATCTTCAATCCTTTCACACTCTGTCATCTGTATCATAATACAGTTTTAATGACATAACTTTATGCAGCCTGACACCTAAGGGACACTAAGCCACATTTTATTCCACAGCAGTCCTCAATAATCAGTGGAGACTGCTTACTGTCAGATACACTGTGAACAGAGAAAAGAAATGGCGTGCACACCTCTACAGTTTGCAGAGACAGCTGCATAACTCTATATATGACATTCAGACTTTCAGTATTGGAACCACCAATATATCATTCTCTTGAATAATGTGGTGTGTTTAATTGATGTTTATAGATTTGTGGCAGAAATCCTCATCAAACAGAATGGAACAGAGATGAAAAGTAAAAGATTTAAATCCATTAGCATACATTATTTGCTTTAAAATTACTTGGTACCCACTTGGAATAGGAAAATAAATCTTTCTCTAGAGTTTACATTCTTTCTCCTACTTGCCCTTCCAATTTAGCTTATAAGAGCAGAAACATAATGTGCACCTGTGGAGGAGGGTGAGGTTGCTTGCAGCTTGCATTTTAAGGCAGGGAGTAGGCTGACTGGAGGGAATGGTCCTGCAGGGTAACAAAAGCTGCTCTTTTCAGCCCTATGGAACTGGACCTTATCTGAGGACTCACCTCAGATGTCTAGAGCAGTGTAGGTCTTCACATTAACCTTGGAGCAGACTGTGTAGCAGCACTGAATGAGTGTATCAGCCAGTCACTTATGCTGCTGCAGAACTGTGGATGGTGAATATTTATCCACTGCTATTTTCATTTTAGAAGCCACTTCAACTCATCATCTCAATGCTCCAGTTTATAAATGGATACTGCTGAAGTGATGCACTTCACTGAAGATCTATATTAAGTCCTATTAGCTACTTGATCTCAGAAGCATCTTAAATGTTTGAAATGCATCAGCACAAGAAAAAGAAAAGTGAGATAGAGTGTGTGCCAGCTTCTCAGTCAACAAAGAATTTGAAGAGACCTGCAGAGCCCAAGCTTCCTGCTTATACAACAAATGGCCTGAAGGTAGCAAACCTGATTGCCATGAGCCACATCACGTTCCTGGAAGAGCAGCTTCATTTGTTAACACTCCCTAATATGTATGCAGCATCTCATATGAGGCCCGTTAACAGGAGAACTGGCCTCTGCAGTAAGTGCCAGACTGACAGGAAAAGGATGATCCCTCTTCTGAGGATGCAAGCATTGTTCTTGAGGCCCACTGTTACAGCAGTACAGAGAGTGCCAAGGTACAGGCTCTCTTTTCTACCACCACTTCTGGCTGTCAAAAGTTTACACGTATAAAATTTCAGAAACTAGAGTTTGTAATTTAAAAATTTTATATCTAGGTGTCTGTGACTCACATTTCCCCCACTAGTTTCCAGGATGGAGAAGGAAACACTGAGAAGGTGTAATGCTAACAACTTGGCTCTCTCTTCTGCAGTTCTTTTCAAAGATCTGCCCCTACATGAGGTGCTATTTAGAGCTCCCTCTTGTGAAAGCTGGAACCATTAAAACAAAGTAATTTGTCAGTGTCAGAAATCCAAGAAACAAAGGCTGACTTTAGCTCATGGTTTCAAGTAAAGCTGATTTCAGAAGCAATTAAGTAAAGTTACAATTACACCACTCTTTTAGTTCACTTCAGACTTTCGAATAAAAAATACTCAGGCTGCAACCTTAGAGAAAACAGCATGACTTGGCTGAAATAATTTCTTTGCTTTGTCTAATTTACATTTTCAACCAGTATTAAACTTCATATGCACTGAGAAATGCATGTACAACAATCTCCTGTGACTTAAGAATATCTATGCTATTGAAATATTAACATAGTCATCTCACCACTTTATAAACTATTAAATATAAGTGAAAGGGATGTTCCAGTGCAGATACTTGGGACAGAGAAAGTTAAAGGGAGAAGAGCAGAGTCTTCAGAGCAAGAGGCAGAAGCTCATACTCAGGGTGACAGGAGCATGTGCGGGGAATGCTGACCTAAATTAATATGCCAGAGGGTCCCTTCTTTCCAAACTTCATGCCCCACTGCCATACACACACTTCCAAGAAACACTGGAAAAGATAATGGCGAAGAAAAAAACAAATAGAGAAGAAAGCTATGTTCTTTTAAAAAACTCACATGAGGACAGCTGCTGACTGGAATGCATTGTTTCTTGCGACACTCTGTCTTGCCTTTCACACAAGCACAGATGGTGCAGTTCACAGAGGACCACATCTCTCCATCCTGGAAGAGGGAACATGATATAGTATCAGCTGGGGTGGCAACAGGAAGCTATTTCAGCAATGTATCATTGCACAAGAAAGGATAACTTTCCTTGTAGGTATTGTGTCATTGTTTAGTCTAAATTATTTTGAGGTGTCTGTCCATGGCCAGTTGGATTCAAGACAAACATCAAATTCAACAAGGTTTTCTTCCCTTTGGCCCTCTTGGTTAGAAATTCATTTTTCCAAGGCTAACCAAATCACACTTGAATTTTTCATCTGCGTCCTGATTATTTGCATTGCTTTTTCTCCAATAAGCATCTGAGATGTGATCACACCTACCACAAATTTTAGTTTAAGCTCACATAATTAGAAAAACCTGATTCACTGGGTTGAGTGACATCTTTAAGTTGTTGCACGTGAAAGTATTTGATTAAGATGTCAGCATATAGTGAATTTATTCCCAGATGTAGCATCATTTTGACTCAGGGCAAAAATGGTTGAATAATGAATTCTAATTTAGATTACTTACAGCACTTTCACAGATATTTGATCTGCTAAACATCTGAAAATGCTTAGAAGAAATACAGTGCAGAACTTCTCAAATGCAGAGCAGGTAAGACAGCCTATGTATGGCTCTGAAAGTATTAAGTGCAGAGCAAAATATGCCTCATGGTCTTGTCCCCACTTGGGATGAACTGCTTGTAGAACTGCCCTGGCTCCTTTTTACATGGTGTTGCATTTGCCAAGTGTGGTTCCTAAAACATTCTGTCTCACCCACTTACAGTCTTATGCTAGTCCACTTAGAGCCAAACTGTGCATGTTTTCTGTTTACAGGGCTGCTGTGAAGGAAGGGTGAGGATAGACCTGACAGGAACAGGCAGTTCAACCAGACAGCTGTGAATAATTATATGCCCACCTCAACATGATGTTCTGACCAGAGAGAAAAACAGACTATATATGAAATGCCAAGGAACATAACTTATTCAGCACAGCATGCTTGGTCAAAGGCTGCCTCTTCTGCTAAATTCTGTTAAATCTTTTGTTTCCAGGGCATGTTACTATTGCCTGGTGTTTCTGACACAGCACATGTTCTTGAGAGTCTAATGACTACTCACCAAGCATCCACTATGGTATGAGAATAGGTATCACAGGTGACTGCATGCAGCTACTCTGAATTTTTTGTCTCACAGCTTGTTTTGTACAGGAGTGTACAGGAGTGCAAAAACACATTTGCTGTGCCCATTCTACCTGTGTTAGACCACTGACTTCAACAGAGCAACACTGGATTTACTCTTTTGCGTATAAGGCCAGAAATGGGTGTACTGACTCGTTATTTTTTCACACTCCATATAATACTAGTAATATAATAAAATCTTCACAAGAAGCAGAATATTTTAGTTGGGTGCCTAAGAAGTAGGCATTTGTTCCTGAAGCACAATGGCACCAGTGTGAAAGTGCCAATCAGATGGAGTATAGTCTCAGTGTACAGTAGGTTCACATGTAATTTCCAGAATAAACACTTCAGCTATGTACACAAAAGATGGAATAAATGGGAAGCAATTCTGGCTGAGAAAACCAAGTACTCACAAAGGACTTAATATTTGATCTGATTCAAGGGTCTCAATTCACAGATGGCCCATGAGGTGACAGAATCTTTTTCTGACACTGTGTGAAAAAAAAAAAAGCTGCACCACTTGGAAAAACAAACAAGGTCTCAGCAACAGCAGAAGTGTTCTGCAGGGAACCCCTTGAGATTTGAAAACATTGGGTGAGAGTACAGTAGGTAACAGTTATTACATGGCTATCCCAGTTTAAGATGTCAGGGGTGCTGTCTATAGAAGAGATGTGAAATGTAGTAGATCAAGATGAGTAACTTCCAGCCAAGATGACCTTCACAAAGCTCCTGTTGGCTCAGCTATGAAAAAGACTCTTTGGCTCAGCAGATAAAGTCTACATACCACACAGAATATCTCCTCCATGTTAGGAAAGCAAAGCATAACTATCTCTTACTAAAAAATGCATCACTTGTCATGAAACAGCAGCTTGGACCTCTTCATACAGAATGGGAGACAACATATCACACCAAGAAGGAACTAATCTTTAATTGTTGTATATCAGCAGAATTTACACAAACAGAAAAAAATGAAAAGCAGATGACAAATTTTGCAAAACTTTGCCTCTGAGTTGTTCCGACATCAACCAGGATGGTGAGGATTCTGCTAATAAACAAGCCACAATGCTAATTTACAGTAAAGTCATGCTGTTTCAGCTGTTACAATGGCATATACTCTTGAGACACATCTGAAACTTTACCTGGAAGATCTTATTGCCGAACTTGCACACTTTCACTTCTTCAGGAGAGATATACGAGACACATTCCTTGCAGCAGTGGTCTTTGTCTTTACTGCATTCGCCAGGAAGTAAGCACCTCTTCTTACATATTACTGTTGAATCCTAGGCAAAATGATGAAAGGAGATAATAAAATCTTCACCAAGATGTATGGGTGTCTATGTGTCCTTGCCATAACATTTCTGCTTGTTCAATCATTGATCCACCCAAGCTACAGTGCAATTGCTTCAAATAGGTCATCTCAGAGGGAAAAAAAGTTATTTATGAGTTAAGGGAATCCTTCATGGTGCATGAAGCTAAAGCCAAGCTTGTACTTCTCTTGGCCTGAAAAATCTTACTGACTTGGTGACATTTCCATTTTTTTGTCTAGGTGCAAAAGTGCAAGAGGTCACAATCATGTTGGGGAACTAAAAATAAAATCACTACCCTTCAGCAGAGATGTGGTAAGTCATCATTTAGAAACTCCTCTTCCACTCTAATGCAAAATTAAAGAGGATCATATAATCTGAGCAATTTTATTTTGCATCACACAGAGTAAGGCAACATGTCTCAGCTGAGGCAGTCCGTAACTTTTTTAACTTTCCTAGCAGAACTGCAAGTGCTCTTCAGATAAGATTCTTTGGGACCACACAGGATGCCAAAGAAGAACAGTATCAGGCTTAAAGTTCCACAGCCCTACAAATTACTGCTAAGCCAGACAACCATCAGGACACATATCAAAGCACTGTGGACTTACCTTGCATGTACATATTGTGCAGTTGTCATACATAAATGTGGACCCATTATCATACACGTTGCTGTGAAAGAGGCAGCTTCCAAATGGGAGGTCAAACACTTTCCTCTGTCCTGAATATAAATAAACAGTAACAGAAACAGAATGTAGTTGAAAATATGCCATTATTGTCAACAAAAATAGTAGGGCTTATTGTCACCAGATCAAATTCATGTCCGATGTGTCATTTACTATGTGTTTCCACTTTGGTGTAAAAGAAATATGCACTTTTAACAGTTCGCTGTTCTTCTAGCACACATTTATCTGTAAGAATTCTATCATGGGAGGGAATATAAATATGATTTATGGCATGTTTATGTTGGAAAAATCTTTCTTCTCCTTCTCATCATAAAGTACACAGTGCAGCTAAAGGAATAAAAAGTAAGCACTGCAAGTTCTTAAGGTAGGTACACTTAAACTAGTTTAAACAGCCTTTAACTTAATGCAATAACTTATCAAATAAAGCAGTCTTAACTTATTTTAGCATATCGATCTCAGGGTTTTACAGCAGCTAAAAATCAACTCAGTGACATTGATGCAAAAAACACACAGGCATTGTCCAGTCTCATTAAGATAGCTTGGTATGCCACATTCATACAAAGCTGCAAGAAATACAGGCATTTGCATAATTTATGAGCAGAATTATTTAGTTTTCATAATATATAAAATATTTGGGTTTCATGAGGGTGAGACAAAGGTTTGCAGCACTATACAGGGGAGGCAGCATCAATTCCAAATCCCTCCTGAAGTCCTGAAATCCTGCAAGCGCTTTCAAATCCAAGTTGCAACACACTTCACAGTTCTGTAAGTTTCTCTTATTCCTCAGCTTTTTTCCCCAGTAGGTTATTTTAAACAAGTGACCATTATAATACATAAACATGATCTCTTCACAAAACCAGTACACTTTACCTGCGTAATTTTGAATTGCCCTGCTTACTTTTGGTGGCAGCCAACTAATAAGTTCTTTTGCAAGTGGCTGTCACTCTCCTGGTTTATCATTTCTGAGATCTAATCTTTAGTAGGCATAAATTCTGAGATAGGGAATGGCCACTGTAAGTACATAAAAGTACTAAGTATTAGGCCAATACTTTAGCTTTCAAAGCATCAGGTCTTGCCACACTGCAACTCCTTCATTCTTCACTAATTCTTGATAAATATAGAATGTCTAAAAAGAAAAAGATTCCATTTTCCTCTGAGATATAAGTGAACAAAAGGAAAAGCACATGGCAAAATCCATTGGATTAGCCTTGAGGCTTTACAAATCGAATGTTAAACAAAAGTTACGAAATAATTGTTTTTGTTCAGATAGGCATAATTTGAACATCTCTCACAAATTAGCTACTTTGAACTAATCTGTGCTTGCATAGCCGGCCTTCCTTCTACTGGATGTGCATCTTTCTGAGAAGGCTTAATTTCTCTTTCAGAACAGACATATGAAATCAGTAGAGGATGCTCAGTAGCCCCAAAAGGAGCTGCTCTGCATCCACGTACCACTTATGGGCAAAGCCTAGCCACAGTTCTGCCTGTAACAACACTTCTACTGCTCTATGTGGGGCCAGGACCTCAATTGCATAGCTTGAGCCAACAAGTGAACAGAAGTCCAGTTCTCGCTCACACCCCCTTGCAAAACACTCAGCACAATTCTGGGTGGCCAAACCAGTTCAAATAGTTGGTAAAAAAACACTGACAAAGAAGCTACCACTTAAAAAGATGTGGTGATGACAATATTGGCTTAATGGTCAGCTTTCCTGGCTCACAACCACCAGTTAAACTAATAACTCAAGTCCCAGTAGAGTCCACAGCATTCTTCTAAGCTATATACGCTGAATTTCAGGAATTCAATTGCAGGGAGGTCCTTCACATGATGCTTTAAAAACCATGCACCAGCATCCTGGAAACATTTTTCTTTCCCAACTTCTATGCAGTGTGCTACTCATCCCTTGGCTTTATCTCCACTCCAAAACTTTTAATGCTTCCCTGCGAATAGACATTATCTATTTACATGTGATGAATGCTTTAGAGCAAAGAAGTTTTAGAGCAAAGACCACATAAAATGAAATTTGTTATTATCAGTGAACTTCTTTACATTCTAAGCAGGGAAAAACGAATCTATAGAAAGATCGCCTTGAAGTAGCCAAAAATAAAAGCCTTGTTTTGAATGCCTAAAGCAAGGAAGGGAAGGTTCAGTTGGGAAAAGCATGGGGAGGAGAGGACAAGGGGAGTTTACAGATGGAAAGGAAAAATGTCCTCAGCTGAAACAGAAACTCAGCATTTGGACTGTTCTCCTCTCCATTTCATTCCTTTACAGTCTTACTCTCTGGGGCTGAGGTTAAATGTTCCAGGAAGATATTTATCTGTAGCACTTCTCAATTAGCAAATAAATACATCAGGTTTGCTTCAAGCAGTCAAAAATATTAAGTATTACTAGAACCTGGAACTCTATATGGCTTGCTGCCTCCAAGGCCAGACCTCTCTGTATCCCTAAACTAGACCTGAAAACAGACTTTGGATAATAGAAAGATACAGTCAAAATTAAATTAAGTTTCTATTGAAGAACTGGGAGTTACTGGCTCTGAAAATTTTCCAAACTTAGTTATAACCTCATAGACCAAATTTACTTGGTAGGATGTAAGTGCTCCTTGTTTCTGAAACAGACAGAACGTTAACTTGTGGGATAAGTGGTCCAATCAAGAGAAAAACAAAAACTCTCAAAAGTCACTGCCTTCCTTGCGTGACTTGGAAGAACTAAGCACCTTCTTAGAAGCCTCTGACTGACACTTTTAAAAGTGTTGGAAAGACATAACTGAAAATATTCCCTGATGAAACAGATTCCACCTTAAGAAGTTAACCATGAGGCAGACTCCTGGGTCTGTGGCCTCTCTGACAACAGTTTCCAAGAATGCAATGCAAGTTCAGAAGTTTCCTCTGATCTGCATTTGTTCAAAACCAAGAACGCAAATGCTCACTTGAATAATATGAGAGGGCCAGGCCTTTTTCCTGTAGCAAACTCCAAAGAAACATTTCCTCCCACCTCAATCTCCTATGTAAAACATATAATGAAGGTGGGAAACATCTCTATATTTGTCCCTCTAAGCAAGCCAATTGGTCCATGCTCAAATGCTCTTCTGCAATTGCTTGCTTAGTACCAGCCCTAACAACCCTACACACTGACTCCAATTACCTGTTCAAAATCTGTAGATTAGAAACTCTGCTGAGCAGTACAGTCTCTTCCACTTCCTAGAATTTACCAGTATCATGAAATACTGGCATAAAGGATGCTGTGCACAAACATATCATATTAATTACAAACTTCACAGGAAAAAAAACTACTCACCTAGCTTAGTACCAGCCCTAACAACCCTACACACTGACTCCAATTACCTGTTCAAAATCTGTAGATTAGAAACTCTGCTGAGCAGTACAGTCTCTTCCACTTCCTAGAATTTACCAGTATCATGAAATACTGGCATAAAGGATGCTGTGCACAAACATATCATATTAATTACAAACTTCACAGGAAAAAAAACTACTCACCTAAGCATTTGGGGCAGTCCAGCAGGTATGTGACTGAGGTGCTGGGGACATGAAAGAATAGGGCAGACTTCCTGGATGCACTGTGTCCTGCCACCCTGAATGAAAATAGACTCAGTTATTTCTTTATTAGCTTTTAAAAAATAAAGCAAATAAAGCAAAATATCAAGCAGATGTGTACATGCCCACACAGACTTCAAAAGGTCTTGAAAAGCCTTAGTCAAAGCAGTATTTTCCAACAGAAATTTCTGCTTGCATCAGGCATACACAACAGGTACAACTCTCCTTCAAGACTTTCCATATTGCTTGCAGAGACCTTGAATCATTCATATTTTTTTCAATCTCTCAAACAATGAATGTAATATTTGAAGAAACAGTGTCTTACTGTCTTATTTCTTGGTGTGGATATGAGAAAACCAGGGAAAATAAAATAATTATCCATAAACCTTTCCGGATGTTCAAAAAAGTTTCTGAGCAACTTTTTACATTATTTTTCATCTCCTGTGTCGTGCCCTTCTAGGCTTGTCTGGGACAGGGATTAAGTGTTGAAGCAAGATGAGAGCAGGTGTTCTTCCACTATGTCCATGACCTCAAAAACCAAATGAGCCAAAATCACTTTAAAAAGCACATTCTTGTTAGACTCCTAGTCCAACTACACAAACCCAGAAGGTCTGCTTTCTTAGCAAGAGGGCATATGAAATTCTGAGAATGAATGAGGAAAAAAACCAAAAAAAGCAACCAAAAAAAGCAAACAGGACTGGATATATCGTGGTGTATCAATGAATACCAGAAATAGAGGCAAAAATGAAAGCACAGAATATATGCCTAAGTCAGTCAAAAGAGATCTTTGTTCTCATTCTGCTCTGTTGCTCAATTACTTCACATTGCTTATAGAATACTGTGTTTAGCCCTGGACTCTCTACCAGCATGTGCTCCATATGCTCATGAGAGGTCCAGGTTGTCAAACTTTAAAAATCAGTCCACCTTTGTCTTAGCAAGGAAAGTCAGTTCTTTTCATCTAACTGTTCTGCCTTATTTATCACCCAGAGCTGCAGGCTCATCCCAACAATAAGCTTTGTGTTCCTGGATGCTA